CAAACCAAGTCACATATTTATAATTTTGGGGATTATTTTGGGTGCAGAATTCACTGCTTTTCCTGCAGAAAAATCCCAAATTCCCAAACTTCCAGGGAAATCCAAAATTCCAAACCAAGGGACGTATTTATCATTCTGGAGATGATTTTGGGGTGCAGAATTCACTGCTTTTCCTCCTGGAATATCCCAAAATTCCCAAACCAAGGGATATTTTTATAATTTTGGGGCTGATTTTGGGGTGCAGGATTCACTCATTGCTTTCCCTGCAGGAAAATCCCAAAATTCCCAAACCAAGGCACATATTTCTAATTTTGGGGATTATTTTGGGTGCAGAATTCACTGCTTTTCCTGCAGAAAAATCCCAAATTCCCAAACCTCCAGGGAAATCCAAAATTCCAAACCAAGGGACATTTTTATAATTCTGGAAATGATTTTAGGGTGCAGAATTCACTGCTTTTCCTCCTGGAATATCCCAAAATTCCCAAACCAAGGGATATTATTTATAATTTTGGGGCTGATTTTGGGGTGCAGGATTCACTCATTGCTTTCCCTGCAGGAAAATCCCAAAATTCCCAAACCAAGTCACATATTCCTAATTTTGGGGATGATTTTGGGGTGCAGGATTCACTCATTGCTTTTACTCCAAGAAAATCCCAAAATTCCCAAACCAAGGCACATATTTCTAATTTTGGGGATTATTTTGGGTGCAGAATTCACTGCTTTTCCTGAAGAAAAATCCCAAATTCCCAAACCTCCAGGAAAATCCCAAAATTCCCAAACCAAGGCACATATTTATAATTTTGGGGATGATTTTAGGGTGCAGAATTCACTGCTTTTCCTCCTGGAATATCCCAAAATTCCCAAACCAAGTCACATATTCCTAATTTTGGGGCAGATTTTGGGGTGCAGAATTCACTCATTGCTTTTCCTGCAGGAAAATCCCAAAATTCCCAAACCAAGGCACATATTTATAATTTTGGGGCAGATTTTGGGGTGCAGGATTCAGGTGGGGAGGAAGAAGGAAGGAGCCCCCCCCCCCCCAGCAGCTGGAAAACATCTGGGCTGCCAAAGAAGCCTGGCCTGGAAATGGAGGCAGGAATTTGGATCCAGGAATTCCCTGGGAAAAGGGAAAATCAGTTCAGGACAGTCCAAGGCAGGGACAGATTGCTCAGATATCAAAATTAAAGTTGATTTATTTCTTTTCTCTTCACATTTCCCATCAAAGCACAGGGGAAAATGCAGAATTTTCCTCAATCCCAATCTCAGCCTGCTCTGGGTTTTTTTTTAACTTCCTGCATTTTTTTTTTTTTTTAGTTTTGTGGTTGTATTTCATTTTAAAAATAAAAAAATTTAAATTTAATTAGCAATCAAAAATACTCACCATCCATGAACTCTGTGCACAGTGAGATCCTGTTCTCCACAAAAAAAGCGCCATAAAATCCGATGATATACGAGGAGTCACACTGGGGGGAAAAAAAAAATAAAAATAAAAAAAAAGAGGAAAAATGAAAAATAAAAAAAAAAAACACGAGGTTGTTTGAAAAATCTGCTGATGAGGAAAAAAAAAAAAAAATTTAAAAAATGCAAGAAGAAAAGCATTGGAATGGTGAAATCCACGGACCTTGTAGAGGATTTCCAGCTCGGACATGATTTGTTTCTGCAGCTCCAGGGTGATGTCCAGGGGGATGACCTGAGACAGGGAATGATAATTAACCACGATTAAAAATAATTAAAAACAATTATCCACGATTAAAAACAATTATCCACGATTAAAAACAATTAAGCACGATTAAAAACAATTAAGCACGATTCAAATTCCTCATCCATGGAATAATGATCTTTGTGGGATAACAAGAAAGAGAGGGATGGGTGGGAAGAATGATTTGAGCAGGGAGGAGGTGGAAATGGAAGGATTGATTGATTGATTAATTGATTAATTGATTGATTGATTGATTGATTGATAATTTTGGGTGGAGAATCAAAGCTCAGCCAGTGCCACCCTTGGGACCTTGCAGGGAATTCCAGCCCAGCCAGGAATTCCAGCCCAAAATCATCGAAATCTCCAATTTCCCACTCTGAGCCATTCCCTGTGTGCTGTTCCTATCCCAAATCCCAAACCCCAAATCCCAAACCCCAAATCCCAAATCCCAAACCCCAAACCCCTCTCCTGGATCCCCTTTAGGGGCTCTGAGCATTCCCTGGATCCTTTTCCTTCTCCAGGGGAACATTCCCAGCTCTCCCAGCCTGGATCCAGCTCATCCCAATCCCAA